TATGTAGAAGTGACGATTTCAATTTGGATAGTTAACTTCCTACACTTCAATAACATGTATTGAAAAACTGGGAGGTTTCCAAACATGGATGTTTTCACATGTTGACGAATCGATAAGATTTTTTTTTTGTGGTTAAACTGGTCTAAATGCTACAATATAGCTTATTTCTGACCCTTTACAGGCCTAAGCATCCAGCTATTTTATTGCATTCTACTCCTTTATGTACTGGTGTACCTTATGTAAGTTTTTTGCCACTAAATAATTCCTCTCCCACTAAATTGAGACAATGATGACCATAATACCTTTATTTGTCTAGGAATTTATTATATTTAAGGCTTCCTAGAAGTCTGATATCTTTTTTTTTTTTTAAGGTCTCCTATTTAGTCAATTATCATGCCACTACTTTATAATAATTCAGAATTTTTCGGATTAGAAAACAAATGTCTAACTTTTTCTCTTCAAATATTCATTTACGTCTGTCGACGATCTGTTGACAATCAGGAGATGGTCTGACGGAAATAATAAAATAACGATGAGTCAGGCATGGCTTGATTCAATTACGTTGGTTTGTTAACGGAGATCTCTCGTCCAACGTCTTTTTAGTCAGTTCCATGTATTCATGGGTTTTTGAATTAAAGCCATATCTCTTCTTAGCATGTTTGTATATCGAAGGAAACTATTATGAAATCCTTAATAAATAGTCCTTATGTATTGGTCAACTGTTGACAGAAAGAAGTGATCATATAGGATTTTGTTAATCACGTACAACGGTGCTTTAGTTGTAACTCGCAAGATTTTTTATTGCATAGTTTTAGTTTATGTTAATGAGTCTTTTTAAATACAGTAAAAATCTACGAGCAGTATGTCCATATTACCTTGGTAAGAAATTAAGAAGACTGAAACTAATAAAACTACTCAGTAGCACAGACGGAGGGATAGAGTATTGACCCTGGCTGGACCCCATTAAGCCATCGGTCCACATTCACTTTCTCCGCCTCCCATTGGCTCGTTATGAAATCGGGTCCTATAACAGCTTGCTTCCGACCTCCTTTGTCACCCTTGGTCTTGGATGTTGTTCTATGTTCTGTGAAGTATACTTTTCATCTCTCTATAACTAGAATTTATCATTGAAATAATGCCATTATAATTATCATTAAAAATAAAATAAAAACATGGCAATTTATAACTAACGATCGACCAACATATAATGCGTTAAAACACTTCAAAAACTATGTAAAACACAATTATCAAACTTAATTAACAGCAAAAGTGAGGATAAGATATCAAAAACAAGAAACGAAAATACTACGATAGTGAAATAACCGTTTATATATCTGTTTGTTCCATAGTTTGTGAAACGCCCAAATGCACTTCTATACTTTAGGTCTGCCGGTGTTCCTCAAGGTAGTATCCTAGGTCCTATCCTTTACACAATTTATACAGCTGAGATCCCAACCCAATCCAACACTGTCATCACCACCTATGACACGTGTATCCTATCAGTTAATAACGATCCAACTATTGAATCCCAAACTCTTCAATCACACATCACAAGCCTTGAAAAATGGTGTCAAAACTGGAGGATTAAAATAAATTCCAATAAATCACATCAAATAACCTTCACTCTTCGTCGTAAACCTATGACTTCCTGTCCTACAGTATCCTTCAACAATAGGACTCTTATCCCTGTCGAACAAATCCGATACTTAGGACTCCACCTTGACAAACGACTCACTTGGAACCCCCATACCAGACTGAAACGACTAGAAACCGCCCGAAGTTTTCGACTACTGCAGCACTTACTAGACAAACGATCTAAGCTTTCAATCAATTATAAACGACTCGTATATATGACAATAATAAGACCTATTTGGACTTACGGAATTGAGCTTTGGGGCTCCACTAAACCATTGAATTCCTCTCGTATCCAATCCTTACAATCCAAAATCCTTCGTAAAATCCTCAACGCTCCTTACTTTGTCACAAATAAAATCATCCATAAAGACCTTAATGTTCCATATGTTTCCGATTTGGCCCAATCGAGATACCTGTCCTTCCATAACAAACTGCAGAACCATCCGAATCCTCTCGTTTCAAACCTTTCTTCCTCCGCGATCCCTCATAACCCTCCGAGGTGTCTGAAAAGAAGATGGCCTCGGGATCTTCTAATATAGAACTTTAATTTGAGTTCTACCAATGTGTAGTTTCTCTTTATGTTTTACATGTCATGTTACCAATTTCACATTTACTTATTGTATTTTCTATTTAATACAGTTGTAAATTCCATTAAAATAAAACAAAAATAAAATATTTTAGGTCAATATCATTTCTTTTTTCCTTTTACTAAGAATATTCATTACAAATATCGGCTGTTGGAAACCTTGACGAAGAGATGTGCCAAGAGCTGTGTAAACTTGGGCTGGCCACTTGGCACTTTGCACAGCCTATGTCGCCACCAACTTGAGCAACATACCTTGACATATTGCTGATCTGAGTGCGTAAGCCGCTAGAAACTCGTGCGTTTAATTTAAATCGTCATACATATATAGATTATTTTCTATTTTAGGATCGTTACGCAAAAAATTACTACATACAATATGACACATCGTCTGTTTTTTAAACGTCGAAACCCCCAAAAATCTCAAATTAAGGGTGTATAATGATAGGGATAAAGCCAGTTCTAATATATCGCTGTGAGACCTTGGTACTACTTAGAAAAAAAGTAATAATACATTTGAGAGAATAATCCTCTACAGGATAACCGAGGCGATCTGGTATCAGAGTAGTAACTTATGGAGAAGACCAATAAAGAGCAGCTTACAGAAACTAATTAAGCAATATGTCATGGTATGAAGGATCAGAGATTAAGATGGGCAGGGCATGTAGCTCAGAGCAATATATCAGGAATTGTCTACACTACAATTAATGCCTCAATATTAGGCAAAAGACAAGGCGGAAGGCCAAGAAGCAAAGTGATAGATCAAACAAAAAAAAAAGTTGTGATTGAGCTGAACTTTTAATAACATATTTATGAATTTCAAACTTATTTATTGATTTAAAAAAAGTAAGTTAAGGACGTGAAATTTTACTTAATAACTTTTGAAACTAACCAACGATATATTTATCTTTAAGTAAGTAGACTGGAGACAGCTAATAATATCGCTATTAATAAAGTCTGCAATGACTATTTTAAACATTAAACAAAACACATTTCCAAAATTTTATGGTTTTACAAATGTGTTTCTTAACACAATGAAGGCCTAGTTAATACCAGAAGTTTTGTTTTTAGAAGATCAGCAGTTTAATCTCAAAACTAGCCAAATACAAATTTATGAAAATCTTCATACGAACCTTGTATTCCAAACTCAAAAATTAAAACATAATTGTATTTATCAGCCTATATATATATATATATATATGCATATTTACTGCGTTAATACAAACAGCAAATTTTGAAGAAAGCCATAAAATTAATTTTGAATTTCCGGATTAACACAAAATTTGGATATTTTATTTTGGGTTGGGTCATTTTTTTTTATTTTTTTTTTATGAATTTGGTAAATAAAAATGTATTTCAAGACAAATACGTGTTATGGACCTAAATGATTAATATAAAACTAATTTCTTTGGGGTTGCCATGAAGTGTTATAGTTTTGGTCCGACCTGTCAAAGGACAGCAGCATTGGGGATCGGAAAGGATTGAACGATTGGAGGGATTTCTGCAAGAGGAGCTAATACATATTAATAGAGCGATTAGTATATAGCCTGCCCACAGCGGAACTTTAAATTGAAATATCGAGTGCTACTATTCCTTCATGCAAATCCAAATCGTCCGCGTCCGGATGTCCGCTATCGATCCCTGTCCAGTTTTACCGAACACTTCTCTCATCGATACTGTCTTGTACAAAGCATTAACTGCTCATATCGTACCATATATATATATAGTGAGGAAATCAGCAGAATGGATACAAACAAAACAAAAATACTTTGATATCCATTAAAGAAAGGTTCTGATAGTTTGCGGTGGGCACTTCTATACCAAATTATTAACATCCATATAAAACTTCGTGAATGGCTTAATCTTATCGTAAACTACAATTTTATATCTATGGAAACTTTCAGAAATGGGGCGTTTTCTTATTCAATTAATTAAATTAATGAGGTTATAAAATAAATTAGGTAGTATAATTTGATTACAAAATCGACAAAAAGGAAGGCCTAAAAAATATTCGGCAGTTTGGCCTATATAACCTCGTTATTTTGACACGACGGTGGCCATGTCAAACGGGCCAATATTTTTATAGGAAACATTTTTTCCTGGCTCTTTAGTTAAATTATATTAAACTATCAATTATCCTCCTTCGTATGGAATTAAGTTCATTGACTGAACAAGGCATAGACATTTAGTTTAATGCGACCTCAAATAAAAAAATCCAGTTGTGTCAGGTTTAGAGAACGCGCAGACCAAGCCACTGGTCCTGCACCGCCAATCCATTGATTGGGATAATTAACATTTAGCCATTGTCGTGGATCTCTTCCGTAATGTGCAGGACAACCATCTAATTGAAGTCACATATCCCTTCTCAGTTGTAGTGGAGTATGTTCAACTAAATAGTAATCATTATTAAGAAATTCCATAAAAGTGCCCGCATTGAGTCGAGGCGGTAAGAAATAATTTATTACTATTGTTAATGGAGAGGGCGGGGTGGCCGAATGGCGGTTAAAGCGTGTGCACAGCACCGTTAGTTGCCCGGCAACCAGATATACGAAGTTTTGAGAGACAAAAATAAGTACGAGTTCGCGTCCCGGTGTCGGAGGGGATTTTAAATTCCCCGGCCCGGGTAAATCCCGTTTAGTCTAAAATGGCGAGGTAGGGAAGAAAAAAAAATGTTATTGTTAATGAAGTTTTGTTCTTTTTTATCTATTTTTAATGAAAAAATGGATTCAAGTTTTTTGTTATTAGTTGAATACTTTTTATTAATTAATAAAATAACATTTCAATGGCCTATAGCAACACAACAATACCCGTTTTTGATAAGGATGAAGGTATCTCTGAAATTGATCGATACATGATAGATACATAGATACTAAAACACAACTAACACGTAGATAATTACATTGACGTAACACGCAATAAACGTCATCAGAGCAAACATTTGCAATATGGCCGATGTCCAGGGATGATTGATCTGGCAATAATGCGAAGGCATTAGCTGGCTCCTTGATGGGCTGGTCACTGCCTTAGTAATTAATATCGCCCTTAATATCTGTCCACGGCCTCGTAAATAGCCGGCAAAAACCCTCAGTCAGGTATTAATACCCAGCTCCTCATATCGAATGGCATTGGCCCAAGATTACAAGCTTTTCATCAGCCACCATCTTTTCTGATCAGAACTGGGTATCAACTTCTGTAGGTGAATAATTTCTATCCCATTCGACATTTATATAACTGGTAATAGTATTCCAAAGTCCATTTGAGGGGAAATTTCATTTAATAATTAACTGGTATCTTTAAGAAGCGCCGTCATACCGTTAATGCATCTATTAAGGCAGGCACTGACAATCGCTCTACTCCAACCACTTCACGCCAAATGGAACATGAAACGACCGTGGATTTGACTTAATTATTTAATGTCCTTACATTAAATTATTTAATATTCTGAATTTTCTAGAAGCACCACTTACTACCTCTTAATTCTCAAGAGCCACCTATATTAATCTATAAATTGAAGTAGTTTTTTACTGTAAATATTATAAAATAGGTGCTTAACAACTTCTTTTTACATTTTGTTTTAATAAAATGTAACCTGAATTATCAAATAAGTAAATAGGGTAAGAAAGTTGCACATCCTTTTTGCTTATTATACAATTTTCAAACCATTCCGAGAAATATTTCTTACTAATATCTAGAATAGTAGCATTTATCTATTCGAAATAGTTTCGCGAGTGAAATATAGAAGCCTCAAACAGTAAAATCGAACACAACATTCACCTACCGTGCAGTTGTTAGTAGAAATTCGTTTTTTCGTTTACAGGGAAGTGAAAGAAAAAAATATAAACTACGTATTATTAAAAACAATTAATCACCATATTTTCCCCACAAGTCCTATTCTTTTAAATTTATGTTGTTTTTTTTTCACTAACCATCTCCTTTCACGAATACATATTGAATAATTTATTTTGAGTCATGTTGGTTATTTAATAACTTACTTTAGAGTGCCGTTGATAAATGAGGTCGCCGTATTTATTATATTAAATTTATTGTAGGTATTTTTATTTTATTAAACACTGGTATGTATTCAAATTTTAATTTTTATATTTTTGAAAACTGTATATGTATATGAAAATATTATGCATGTTTGGAAACATATCGCTACCATTTCGACGCCAATATCAAGCACGTTACTATTATTAGCGTCTTCAGTAATTTTCAGTCCCTCAGTACAATCCTTTCTTTCTATTTTGTTTAATAATATAAAATGATTAATTATTTCAAATGAATAAAGTTGAAGGTGCTTTAGAGGAAAAAAATTTAATGAGAATAATACTTGCCTAATTTTAAAGGAAGGAGATGGTCCGGGGTGGCGGTCATAAATAGTTTTGCCACTATTTAGTCTATTTATGACCGCCACCCCGGACCATCTCCTTCCTTTAAAATTAGGCAAGTATTATTCCCATTAAATTTTTTTCCTCTAAAGCACCTTCAACTTTATTAAAAGCCAACATTTCGACCCGACTTTGCATGTCTTCTTTACTTTGCAGATCAATTCAGTTCTAAGTGAAACTCCTAACTGAATACATCTCCCAGAAGAAGACATGCAAAGTCGGGTCGAAACGTTGGCTTCAATAACGTTGGCTAAATAGTTTTGTCACTATTTAGCCTATTTATGACCGCCACCCCGGACCATCTCCTTCCTTTATAATGCAACGGTCAACTATTCAATATTCAATTTCATATATTAAGTAATACATAGTTCAGTAAATATTGCGTACATAAATGAAATTAAAAAAGGTCAGTCGCATCCCAATCACTCCAGTCGCAACAATCTATTGTTCCATTTAGCGTGACGGTCAATAAATCCCTGTTGATAATAGCAGATTTATATAATATGAACGCATACAACAGATCGCATGCGTTCATATTATATAAAACAATGTTAACATGGATCAATTTACATCAATGTGATATACTTAATAATTAAACCCTTCTGTTAACAGAGACCCTTCCTGACGCATTGGCAACAGGTTGCGCCAAGTGCAGCGAGAAGCAGAGGTCCCAGACCGAGAAGGTACTCCGACACCTGACGAAGAACCGACCAAGGGATTGGGCGAGGCTGAAGACCAAGTACGATCCCACGGGAGAGTACAGCAAGAAGTACGAGCCCAAAGCGACCACAGCGGCACCCGCCGCCGCGTAGAGCAGTTCCTAGAGTACCTCATCAAATGCCATCAGCATCCCTTAGGTTTAAGCAACAAAAAAATCTCTGTAATTTTTAATAAAATTATTTAAATTCTTTTTTTTTTTTAGACTGTGGTTTTCCTTTTATCCTACTCCAATCCTCATTAATATATGTTAGGATATAATTGGAAAAATTCTGACCACATAGCTTTATGTATCTAAAACGCAGGTAAAGAATAAAATAAGTGTCGCCAATTCAGACATCAACAGGACAGAAAAGATAACATCAATTCATGACATCCTTCCGTGAGGTAACATATTTGAGAAAGATTAAAATCAAAGAACTGATCAGAAAAAAAAAATGATACATGAAAAACATGCAATTAACAACCAAAATTCATAAATAAGTCACACAAAATAAGGATAACAGCATAATAATGATAAAGAAATACAAAACAAAATGAAATTGAACATCAAAGTTATCATTATAAGCAAAAAATAGCTAATCATGCAGAAAAAGTTAAAAAAATAAAACAACAGGATTTGCAAGAGTTATGCGAGATATTCAACGTTTCAGAATATTAATTATTTAAATTTCTAATGCCAATCCTATCACCAACATCATTATCCAGCTTCTGTGCAACGTACATAACCTCAAATATCTTTCTCTTAAAAGTATTCTTCTCTTTCTCTAACACTCGGACCATATCCAAATCAAATTCATGTTTTGATACTTAAGAGTGCTTATACGTTCTACTATGCAAAATATGAGGCTTTTCATCTACACCTTGGTAAGATGCACGCCCCTAGTTTGGTATACTGCATATTATTAATAAATATAGATATAATAATAGTTCATTATTTGAGGGATCAGAGGCGAAGGAAACCAAATAGTGTGGCAGAAATGAACACTTAGTGTACTGCATCCTTCGAACGTTCAAAAAAATTTGAAATAGAATAGCTGTAGATATAACCAAGTAATTTATTATCACAAATAATCTAGTAAAAAGTGTTATTCACTCCAGTAATCATTAAAAGGACTTATACTGCCGGTAACAACGTCATAAACGACTTGTTCTTGTAAAACTTCATTTTTATCACGACTCAAGAGTATAGTCGAAAACGGCCCAATATTTGAAGAGTGTCCTAGGAAATAAGATATATGTTATAATACGATTTATTCAAATATTCTAAAATAAATCAAATTAAATTCAGAAAATTCCTCAAGAAAACAACCAAATTCCTCAGACGGACACCGTACACTACCTTGGTCCTACCTTTGACAGAACGATGACATCGGGCCCAAATGTCAAAATGAAACGGAAGACTCTCAATAGACGACTCGAACTACTTTACTCACGTTTTCCAAATGTTCAAAACTAAGACAGAAACTAAATGCATACCTTTATTTATTTAAACTAATATGGATTTACTCCTCACAAATATATGGTATAGCTAAAAAGTCTCACTTACACAAACTTCATACTTTCCAATCAAAAATATTACAACTTATAACTAAAGCACCTTTGTACGTGACAAACAAAACATGGACATACTGACATACTAATCAGAGATATGGCTTCAGCTGACATCCCATCAATACGAGGAGGGGACTAAAAGACGCTGGATGAGAGACCTCCTTCCTTAACAAACCATGGTAATTGATTCCAGCGCGGAAAGAGGTATTGCTGGGTGCTATCCTTCCCTATGGCTCACTTGTCAGTTTTCGTTACTTTAATCAGACCATCATTGTCCGACAGGTTCTGATTGGAAATTCTCGAAGTTGCTCTGAATCTATTATTGAGCTTCTAATCTTCGAGCTAAGATAGTAATTTAATCGAGTAGCGAAAAGTTTATTTAAACTTTTATTTATTTATTTTTTTATTTCTTTATTACATTTACAACTGTATTACATAAATACATCAAGTAAATTTGGACATAATTGATATAATGACATGAATACACTTGCTGAGTAACTACCCAATGGCAGCACTCTAAAAACTTTTATTTAAAAAACTTTTACGAAAGAGATCTTTTGAAACTGTTAAAATAGACTTTTTTAAAAATATTTCATAAAATTTTCAAGCGCAATTGTAAATATAATGACTTTTGTATTAAGGTACGGGAAAATGTCAGAGAGGTATAAATATGTGTTTTAACAGCACCGTCATGATCGTATAGTCCTTAGATATATATTATATTTTGCTATTTAAATCAAATACACTAAAAATAATAAAATTCTAAGATTTAAGATTCATTTTAAATGAACCATTTCTGATATCCTAATAATCCATGATTTTTGTGTTTTTATTTTACGTTACCATTAATTAATTAATGGTGCATGCAGCTAATTATAAGTCGTATCTAAATTCTATATACTCATGAATTTTTGTCTTCATGAAGACTTATAAATTCTATAAGTCTCATGAATTACTATGAAGTAAATGATTATTCTGAACATGTTTCAACTATTTTTTTTAGGAGGTGACAAAATAAAAAAAAAGTTTTACTATAAAAAAAATATTTTTATTTTATTTTAATAAAATTTACAACTGTATTACATAAAAAATACAATAAGTAAATGTGACATTGGTAACATGGCATGAACAGCATGAAGAGAAACTGCCCATTGGTAGAACTCAATAAAATAATAAATAAAAAAAATTATTAAATTCCGTTTTGTTTATATTGTTCTCATAATATTAAATAAGACCCAACAGAAAAACTACATTTTCATTCTCACGTCAAGCTTAATGCGGAATTTTTCTCTGAATAGAAAATTTTTTTTTTAAATATACTGTGAAGATTCCCTTTAAAGAGAATAAATAAATTTCTGTGAAGTGAGATATGAAAGACAAATAATAAGAAGATGACCTCCGGCAGACGGGAATATATACAATAGAATCTGAGAGGGGATTGGCCCGTCACGTAGAGCCGACTTAAAATTCAGATTGCGTTGGGGGGAGGGGGAGGGAGAGAGAGGCTGACGGCAGTGACATTGTATCTTCTTATGCCGCCAGGTCTCGAACCCACCAGCCAATATATCGCTATATTTACTTTATCCTCTGGACCCCTTGTGCTCCCATGATTTCCTTTAGAGCGCTGGAAACGTTCCATTCTTATTCCTCGCACGGACTAACTGTTTATAAGCTTTATTAAATATGCTATTTGGCTATGATCGGGATTCCATGATTATTTTAAAGGATTAACAGAATGAATAGGAACTTTGCATAACGTCAATATACTTTTTCTACTCAAAGACCTTACTCAAAGTCAAAAACGTTCAGGACAATAATTAAAGCTCTATAATACGTCACAAAACTTTAATTTATAAACCTTCACTCTCCAAAGGCTAAAGCCGCATGCGTAAATACTACGACAGATCTCACGATAACATACACGGATATACTAACTCTCGCAGAGATGGCACGGGTATAATTAATAAGCTCGATAACACGCTTTGAAGGCTCAAAAGAAGCTGATTAAGGGATTTACCTGCTTAAAAACTAAAATCAAGATAGAAAGGGATGCCGCTGGGCACTCGTCACCTTAACACCGATTAATGCTAATATAATTCTTAACCGACAGAAGACTCATTAGTTGTCAGTATTTCTGACAAGTGTGGGTAAAACATATGGAATCGAACTGTGTGGTCCTTCGGAAAATTGAAAACGTACCCTTTTATGTTTCAAACCTTACGTTACACACTGACCGTAACACTCTATCCATCATGGCAACTGCCACAGACTGCTTTCCTAATTTTCATGACATACTGACTGTAGATTCAAATTCACTTACTCAAACTCTACAAATCCATGTAATCCGCCCAGAAGACTCATGAGGCGCTGGCCAAGAGACTTATTAAGTAGGCATTGAGTAGGCATCCGTAACCATTGATTTTATCAAGAAACTGTATAGGATCATTTTTATTGAAATTTTATATGACTTTAATATTATACTGAACAATCATGAAATATTCTCAAAAATAAATTTAGAAAATGTCATTTTTCTGTCCTTCCTCCCCTCCTCCCATCAAAACCGACTCGGGATTTTTTTTGTACTTTTTACCAGTTATTATGGGGAGGACAATAAACAAATTTTGATAAGTTTCATTTTTATTTTTTGAATATTGGGTTTAGGCTGTTATTTTCTTGCTGTATTATCTTTTTTGTATGTGTGTAATTATGTTATTATGTGTTAATTTACTACAGTTTTTTTTTTGTTTTTGTGTTTTTGTTTTGTTATTACTATTCTTTTTTTATGCTTTCATTTATTATCCTTGATATCATTTTTGATGAATACCGAGGTAGATGACAAACTTATGGCGAGCCAGGAATATGTGTAACTAATAAATAAAATAAAATGTAGTTAGTTATGTTAGTCCAGAAAATGTGATGTATTTTTATCTTTAAAATTTAGATATTTTTGAAAATAAAATATTTATAATAAATTAAACATTATTTTTTTATTGTAATAAACAAAACAAATAGTTTTTTTCCTCTTCAGATCTTCATCCACACCTGTCATAAACGTGGAAATAACCATATGCATAGTTAATTGTTTGAAAAATGGCATTTTAGGAATGAGGAAGTATAGTACCTAGTAGTACTTCTTCCTGGTCATCCAGCTCCCGTTCAAATTTTGGATTGAAATTATAGTACTTTTTTTAAGTGTGTCTTTTCTGCTAAACTGTAAATCTGTGAGGCTTATGTCCAAATGAGTTTGAATAGATATGTGATTTACCTCAGGGTAGTGTCCCTGGGTCAATATTGTTTAATATATATATGTCTACCCTACCGGAACACAATGACACCGGAACACAATCCTGTTCGAGCATCTACCACTCTTCAAAATCACCTGAACGATGTTACCGATTGGGGCACATGGTGTAAAATTAAGATGAAGAAAAAAAAAGTGTGCATGTATAATATCCGCTCTAACCATAAACCTTCCCCAGGAATATATTTTAACAACATTAAAATCCCAACATCAGATGTAATCAGGTATTGATATTTTTATCTGGACAAAGACTTACTTGGAGGAGTCACATTAGATAAAAACAAATAGAATTAAACCGACGATACGGTCATTTATCCAAATTACTTGACAGACGTTCAAAATTGTCTTTAA